GACGCTGTGGCCGGCAGTGATGACGCTCGACTTTTACGCATCCGACGGGCGATGCGGCAGCTGCGACTGGCCGGGGTTGACGACACGATGTCTAGTGCCAACATGGACGATGTCTGGCGCACCGCAAGAGCGGCGAACATCATCTTGAAAAATGCCAGGAACGTCATCCTCACGAGGGAACACTTTAGAGGGAAGACGGTGCTTGTCTACTGCGGGGGGATACATGAGTCGTCATGCAAGAAGTTTTCCACTCTTCTTGCGGAGGCGTCACCACGACTGTTTGGTGCACTAACGGGCGTTGAGATTCTCTTTGTTAGCTGCGATCGCGATCTTCATGCCTATGAACAGCATGCATCGATGTTTACATTTGCCCGCGCCGCCTATCCCTGCACGGAACTTCTAAAGCTTTTGGACATCAGCCACATTCCGGAGCTTCTTCTTTTTTCTTCCGATGGTCGACTTGTGCATCGGCGTGGGGTGGTCGCACTTCGCACAGACCCGGAAGCCACGCTGTTTCCGCGCGGTCCGTGGAGTGGCGCCACGCCCCTGACGGCAGTAGACGTGGCGATGTTTCGCTGCAGCGCCGCCCAACTTGCACACCACACAAATAAGCGCCTTTCTGTTGATGGCGGCACACTCACCGCGGAGGATGCCACGCGTGTTTTGGATCTGCTTAGTGCCGTGCAGCGGATGGTGGATGCGCTGCCCAAAGAGCCGCAAGCAACGAGAAGCGGCCTCTCCGCCAATGGCCCAGCGGATGGGTATTCAAACAACACGCAGGTGCAAGAGGGAGAGGATCAGTCATTTCAGCTCTCGCAGCAGCGATTTGTGAAGGTGGAGGCAAGCACGTTCTCCAACGCAAGTCTTCTGCCGTCCGCATCCACTGCGGCGTATTATGGGCAGGCGGTGCAGGCGGTTGTGCCAGAGCTGAAGGACATCAGTGATGTGCGCCGTGCCACGGGATGGTCGGAACTTGATGTGGCGCTCAGGCGCGCAGTGGAGGCCGTGGAGGCGTTGTGGTTGCGTGCACGTCACAGTGGCACAACATCACGCGTGGCGATTCAAATGCACATCATTGAGCTTGTCTCGCGGTTTTTTCTGGAAATTGTGCCCCTGCCACTTCCACGTGGAACCGACGCACGCGCGGTGCCGATTGAAGAGCAGCCGATTGTGTCGAGTTTCTACACGGAAGAGCCACTTCCTGAGCAGAACTCTGCGAACAACAACAACAACAACAACAACAGCGGAGGTGGCAGAGGTGATGTTCAGGAATGCATACAAGAAAGCATCTACTCTCTTTTGCTATCGTACACTACTGCTTGGCAGGCGGTGGAGGTGCCGACGCGTGCGTTTGATTCAGAACGGTGCCTGGTTGCTATGGCTATGCTTGTCGTGTATGACGCAGCGGTCCGACGCAAAGGAGGCGGTGGACGATGCAGTCTTCTTGCATCCTTGCTAGAGAGTAACGGCGGTTATTATCTTTCCACCTCCATTGGCAGACAATCGCTGTCTTTTGCTTATATCAGTGCGACTCTGGAGTTGGTGCGACCGCAATTCTTGCTGGCACGTTCCGCCATTTTGCGCTACATTGCATTTCAGCAGCAGCACTACGCCCATGAGTTGTTCGATATGCGCATGTCGGAAAATTTGGAGATACGCAAGGAGAGCGTCACCGTGGAGTTTCTTCGCCGCTTTCTTGATCACTGCTCCTACAGTTTGCATGACTTAGGCGGTTTTGCCGCTGCGGGTTCGGAGATGGACACTCTGATGCAGTGGCTCTGCAGCTCACGTACTCCACTGGCACGTGAGCATCCTGAATTTGCGCGGCTGCGGGACATGGTGTTACTCACAAAATTTCTTGCCACCATGGAGATGCGTGATGCGCAGCTACTGCGTCGCCGCAAAGAAACGGACGAATATGCGACTTGGCGTCTTACCTTCGATGAGGATGCACCCGGGCGCCAGATGAGCGCCGGCTGGCGTACAACCCCCTCCCCTCCGGAGTGGGAGTGTGTTCTGGTACGTGGCCGTGACAGTGACATTGCCGACATTGTCGTAAAGGGCTTTGGCGATCGCGAGTTGCTTTACGGTGAGGGTCTTGTTTTACAGTCCCCCATCGACGTCAGTATCCTTCTCTCCGTGGAGCACCCCACCGAGGACGATGTGCTGCATGCCACTTCTATGCCAACCTTTGATGGCACAATGAGTGAGGAGGAGTCTGAGATTTTGTTGTCATGTCTGACGGTGCCCTATGTGCGACTGCCGCTTGTTCTTGACTTTTTTGCTTCACAGGACCGTTATGCGTATCTCTTTACATCCGCCCTACAGAATGTGTTCCGTGCGGTGATTTTTGAACCCTCCGTGTTTGTTGCACCGGAGACGCTGCAGAAGGCAAATCCGACTATGGTGCCAATGCGGCTCACTGAGCAGCAGCGAAAGGCCATTGAATTGCGTCACTTGCGTGGCGACTTCTCGGTGGAGAACTTTGAGTCGTGTCTCGGCACCACGTACGGCCTGCTGCTGAACGAATTACGACATAGCCCCGCGTCTGTGCTTGATCCGCTGCGCCGTATCCTTGAAAGTGTTTTAGAAATTGGCCCCTCTTCTGTCTACAGCGCGAACGCACCATATGTATTGTTTATTGTAGGTGTCGTGTGTGACGTGCTTGCCTTTGGTAATATTGTGTGTGGATGGCCGTCGCTAGAGGGTTCGGCGCAACTGGAGACGCTTACGGCCTACCAGACATCGATGCTGCGGTTCCTTCTCACGACAGTACAGCCCACCTTAAAGGAGTGGTGCCGTGAGGGCGAAGAGAATGATGACACCCCGACGCAGTGCGTGCTGCAGAGTTATTTGGGCGTCATTTATCGTGCGGCGTGGAAGATGGCACTGACGACGGAGTGTTTGTCTTCACCCTCTCGAAACGAACACGATGTTGGTGGGGAGAGTGGTCAGCAGCGCGATGCGGACATCTCGTCTTTTTCTTTTAGCACGATGGCATCCCACCAGCACTTGGTGTCTCTTCTTGAGTCGTGCGCTTTTGTGCGAGCCCGACACAGCTTTGGTATGGGCATGCAGCGCACACAACTCATCGCACAGGAGGGGGACAGTCTTTTGTCCCCGGAGGAGAAGTTGCAGCGATTCCTGCAGGCCCAGGGTCTTGACACCTCCAGGAATTCGAGAAAATTACTGGAGCAGGGGAAGCAGTTGATGCTTAGCGGTGGTCGCCGCCGCGCCGTCTTTGTGCAGATCCGCGGCCGCTACCACAACGACACGGTGCGGCTACCGAATCTTTTTCGTAGCGACGCCCGCAGTACGACGGAGTCGCGGCGGCTCAAAATACCGCCAGCGGATGTGCCGGAGAATGTCGTCTTCAGTTACCTACTGGAGGAGTTGCACACCATTGTTGGATACCTGCAATCACTTTCCGCGACTGAACTCTCTACTCTTTTTCAGCGTATCGTACGGACGGTGCTCCGTGATCACATTCACGACAACAAGAACCTCACAAACGATGGTGCTGCTGAGAGCATGTATAGTAATACGCCGTCGTTATTGACTCACAGAGGCCCCGGTGCAATTTGTCCGCATCTATCCAACGAGGAAACAACAGAGACATTGTGGGAATTGTGTTCGCCTGGTGTCTACCGCGGACCTGCTGCAACTGGCCTTGTTTTCTATGTGCACACATGTGAGCTTTTCTGGCGCAACGATGAGCTTAAGCCGGTGCCTGATAGCATGTCGCACTTTACGGACTTTGAGACAATCCTCGGTCACGATGTGCTGCAGTGTGGCCTTGTGATGCGTCACGAACACCGTCACTGGGTGCGTATTGTTGGTACGCCGTTTGATATCATTGAGTGGACAGCGCCAAGCCCACTGGATCAGGGCGTTTACTCCCCGCTTGTGCTGCAAGGGAATCTTCCAATAGAACCGGTTCTCTCGGCGTCGTACGACCACTTGATCTTTGACCGCGTTGTGGATGTGTACGATGAGGCACCATGGCCGGTACGTGCGGAGCGGTGGGCCGTGGACATTGTGCGGGCGGTGCTACGAGAGGTGTTTCCGGCGGGTGGCATGAAGTACTTTCCCGTCGCAGAGGCACGTGTCAATGCGCGGCAGGAACAGCAGGACGAGGGAGTAGAAAGTGAGGTGCATGTGATGCGCTTCATCATGAATGACTCCCCTCAATATGAAGAAGTGGATCGGGCAACGTGGAAGGAATTGATTGCGTACAAGCATCCTGTTCCGCATTTTCATGTGTTTAACCTCATTTCCCACGCACGCAAGATGTACCGCTCCCTTGTGTTCACATCCAATCAGCGCTACTGTCTGCACAGTCTCCCGATTGTGGTGCGGCCACGACAGCGTGAAGAACTACACCTTACGGCGTTTCAGGCAGGGGACTTGATGCGGCGAGTACGGTGTGAGGGTTGTATAGAAATCCATCGCTACAACTCCAGTCTTCATCTGCGGGAGATGTACCTGCCGGCGCGACTGCTCCAGGGCTTGTTGCCCAGTGCGTTACTTGAGGCATTTCTATTCTGGCAGGACGAGGACGAGGACACTGTCATTCGTGGCTACACCATGGGGGAGGCACAGGACTACTGGTTTAATTACGCCCTGGAGGTGCGACTACGGCCTGGGAAGGGTGACTGCATCGTCATGCGCCTGGATGACGCATCAAATCACCTCACAAGTCGCGAAAAGAGTGCGACGGGGAGGAACACGATTGAGGAGAATGAAGAGGAAGGCGGTGAAGACATCAGCAGCGCCCAGGTGGCGTTGGTGCGAAGTGCATTGTTGTCCTTATCGGACGCGACATGTCGCTGGTTGCTGCGGCATGTGCATGGGGACGTTGCGGCGGCAATTCAGTGGGCGTCCGATCTCACTAACTACGAAACTATTACCGCCATTGAGGAGAAAGAACAAAGGGCCACGGGTAATGAGGAGGTGACTAGGAGTGAAGAGGCAGCAGAAGGACTGGGCCCGAATGTTCATGCGGGGGAGAAACCGAAGGAGGGAGCCTTCAGAGATAGTGACCCGCAACAGGGCTTTAGAGGAGAAGGCCGGCAGGCGGAACATATCGTGTTGCTGAATCTCCTGCAGAATCCCGCGCTTTCCCCTTTGCTGCAGCTGTTAACGAAGTTGGAGGACTGTTCACATATTTTGGTGTGGGGCCGCGTGTCATCGCAGCAGCCACCGCTCAAAGATGACGAGGAGCGCCTGGACGAGGAGGATACGTCGACTTTGGCGGATGTCGTGTCCATTGAACTTCCACGACTTCGTGCGAAGTTTCAGCCACACGTTGACACCGCCACGGGCCAGCTGCGCCTGCATCTTGTCGATCACCCCGGTTGGTATGTGGCTGAAGCGCATGACATGCCACGAAATCTGCGGGATGACAGCGTTGGCGGCTTTTTGCAGCATCTTCGGCGGCCCTTTCAGGAGTGCCTGACACTTTGCAACAACACCAATGGGTTTGCGCTTATGGTGCCGAACCATGAATTTACCGCAATGGATGTGCGGGATGACCCATTTAGCCCACTGCTGCTATTCGATCGTTCCTCTTTGCGCTGGCAGGAAAATGTGGCGTCTCCTTTTTATTTATTTTTGGTGCATCCTTGTGGGAGTTTTTTGACACCACCCACGCTTGGTGCCGCGTTGTACTACGCCGTTGTGCAGTGCGCCACACGACACTATACAGGAGCGATGCGAACGTTGGAATCATGCTACACGGACAGCACATTCAGCGTGGAGGAGTCGTTCATGTTTGGGCTGATGGAGCGGACGCTTCCGGATAAATTTCCCGATGCCCACGCCGTACGGCTCAAACTGGCACACGCCATTCAGTACAGCACGCAGGAACTTCCATGGCCCCTACACGTTGATCTTGCCGGGTATTTGTGTAAGAAACGACATGTTTCACGGGCTTGTCAGCTGACGCGTGATGAAATCCTGGACCTTCTTCGACGTTGTTCCAAGGCGCCAGCTATTGTTCGTGCCCAACTGCAGCTGTGGGCCGCCTTGGTGAAGGAAGAACGGAGGCGAACAACATCGCGCTTGGCTATGGATTTCCCTGTATCTGTGAAGATGAAGGCACCGGCGGTGGTTCGCTGTGGATTCCCGTGGGAGCGCCTTCTATTGTATCCATGGTCGCGTATTGAGCCACAAAAGCTACAGCGTCTCACGTACGAGACACCGGAAGCGGATAGTCTGCAGGAGACAGCCCTGGTGGAGTTTCTCTGGGCAGATAAGTTACTTCTTGATGAAGAGAGCGGGGCGAATAGCAAACTGGGGTTTTACTTTTTGTACTGCCTGAAAAATGGCATTTTATCAACGAAGCTCTTTGGGGAGGACGTCTGTGGGACGCTGGGGCAGCTTCTTAGCCGATGGTTTCATCTGCGACACGCTCGCTGGGGACGGGAGACGAAGGTGGATGGAGAGACAAGTATGCGGCCCTCGTGGTGCAGCACAGTGCTGCAGCTGCTTGACCTTGTGCCTTCTGCTGGCTGGCCGGATGCGGTGACAGAGGCGCGAGTGCAGTACCGTATGCGTCAGGGCGTAGGCCTGACGGAGTCAACAGGGGAGGGCAGGCTCCAAACAACGCCGCACGTTCTCGTGCAGTTCTACCAGTCCGTGAATGAAGTGGCGCGCAGGGTTTTTGAACGGCATGAGGCGGTGATGCGGCATCGGGAGCGGATTCAACTGAGTCAGAGCCACACTGCAATGGACCGCGAGATGTATGTTTGTATGGCGGATCATTTGCAGCCACGCGCTATTCCTGCGAACACAAGTATGGAGCAGCTGCAGCTGTCGTTTAATTCTCTCCATGCAACGACGCAAGGGGCGTGGGTGAGGCCTGAGGAAGAGGAGGCGCGACATAAATTACCAGGTGCACTGAAGATGCGGGAGCGATTAACAGCCCTTTTTGGTACACCCCTCAGCGAGGTGGAGATGTTGTCTTCCTTTATTCGCAGCGAGACCATCTCCATGCGTACCGAGGAGAGCGGGTCCCATCCTGATGCTTTTACATGTAGCGGTGGTCGTACTCGACTACCATTTGATCTTCATCAGCATGCCCAGTGCAGCACCCCACTTGCAAAGCACCTGCTATCGCGACTTGAAGAAGATGCGGATCGTTTTGCGCAACAGCAGCGACAGCAGGTACAATACTCCCTATCATTTCTTACCCGCGATCGTCTGCGTTTGATTCTTTGTGACAACTGCATGTCTGCTGTTCAGGAGGCACTCATGACATCGACGGAGGAACTGCAGAAATGCATTGCCGCCTTGTCCACCTTAAGTGCAGCGGACGCGGCAGACGTGCGGGAACTCACCGAATCGATTTTGCACCTCGCCAATGATATTTTTGCTCCCATCAAGAAGGAAGGCGACAACGACATTACCCATACAGGCCCTACGGCTAACGAAGTCGACGTTTTTGTTGAGACGCGTGTGCAGGAGTACCGGCTGCAGCGAATGCAAGGTTGCCGGTCTGCCGTTCCACTGGAGTGGCTTTTGGGTGCGTTGCTGAGCAGCGATATGGCGTCAGATTTGCGGGCGGTCAATCCGTTTCATGGAGATATCGAGCGGCTAAAAGCTGAACTTGTTTTGTTGATGCTCCTTGCCAACCGCAGCTACATGGCAGAGCAAGCGAAGCAGTCTGTGCGACAAATTGTGCTTTTTCTGGAGCTCTGTGCACGCATTCGCGGCGCAAGCAGCGACGACGGCGATGACGGCAGCAGAAGTGTTTTTTGGAGCCCGAAGCCGAACCCAGAAAGCTCCCGATCACGACTGCAGGAGCTATTGCAATGCTTCTCCATTGGCGTGGACGTGGATGCGCTGGAGCGGGGTGGGAGGCAACCGACGAGCGGCGGTGATGCCAGCAAAAGCAGCGAGGGGAGCAGCAAAGGAATTCAAGGATTACGTGTTTTTTCGGATGATATGGTGGCGGTCTTGGAGGGACGCATGCTGCAGCTGGAGAACGAGAGCATTGAGCTCCTCAACGCGAAGCGACACTACGCCACAGTGGGTGGCGGCGGTGACGGTGAAAGGGTGTTGCTGGATCCGCGGTACCTCCTGTTTGAGTTTATTCACAACATTCTTCTGCGTGCCCGGCAGGTGGAGATGGTGCGGTGGTTTGTCGACAACACGCGTGCCGGGGTCTCGCGGGTGCAGCAGATGATCATGGGGCAGGGCAAAACGACCGTTGTTGGGCCGCTGCTCGCACTGATTCTTGCCGACGGTTCTCGGCTTGTGACTCAGGTGATGCCGACCGCTCTGCTGGAGCAGACACGTGGGATCTTGCGTCGTTGCTTTAGTGTAGTGGTGCCGAAACAAATCTACACCCTTCAGTTTGACCGCGCCTTTGATGACACGGACACGAACAATATTGCACTGCTGGAGCAGAAAATTGCCGCGGCGGCTAAGACACGGGCCATTCTTATCTCCGCCCCGGAGTGCATCAAGTCCGTCTTTCTTAAGGCTATTGAGCAAATGCACCTGCTGGAGACAACACCGACGGAGGAGCTGGACGCCGTGCAGAACAGCGCTGACGAGCGCGTGTCCGCCCAGGCACGTGGGATGCTGCGCCGGACACAACAACGCTCTGCCATGGCGGATGCCATCACACCAATCATCCAACTTTGGCAGCGCGGCGTGCTCATCATGGACGAGGTGGATGTTTTGCTGCATCCGCTGCGCTCTGAGCTGAACTTCCCAATTGGGCTGAAGCACCCCATTGACCTGAGTGGTCCCCGCTGGACGCTGCCGATTCATTTACTCGATGCGGTGTTTTTTTATCAGCGAGGCCGAATATCATGCGGGGCGGTGAATGGCACAAAACTCTTTGATGTCACACCCACCAGCGAAGTTCGACAAGACGACGTCGGCCAATTCTCCCCAGAGGAGGACGGAACATCAGACGAGCGGCAAACTCTGAAAATGACACTACTCAACACCATCCGTGACGCCATTGGGAAGGGATATGAAATGCAAGCTCTGCAGCGGGAACCCCATCTTGTGCTACTGGACCACACGTACTATCAGCATCTTCTGCTCCCCGCATTACTCCCATGGGTACAGCTCTGGTTGTTTCAGGAGGTCCAATGCGTGAGCCGACATGAATTCCATGTGACTACCGCGTCTTTTGCTGCTTCATTGAACTGGCAGTCATTTATTGAGAGCACAACCGATTTTTTGCTTCATCCAGAGCGTCCAAGTCGGGAAAGCGCCGTAGGATCTGCCATCAATGCGAACTTTAGTCCGTTTGCAATTCAGCTCCTGTGCCTTGCCCATGACTGGATTCACCGTCTGCTGCCGCATGTGCTGGCGAAGATTGACCGTGTGAGTTTTGGACTTCTGCAGCCGCAGGACATGGAAGCAGTGACGGTGGAGGAGCGGGAACGAATGCCAATGAGTCGGCGTATGATGGCGATTCCGTTTGTCGCGAAGGATGTGCCTAGTCGAAGCTCTGAGTTTGCCCACCCGGATGTCGTGATTGGGCTGACCATCCTTGCATTCCGCTATGAAGGTATGCGCTTCACGGACGTTAAGGCGCTACTGCAGCAGCTGAAGCAGGACTTTGCACGGCAATCTGGGCCAAAAGAACATCGTCCAGCGGCGAGACTCTACCGTCACTGGCTGCGTCTGAGTATTTCTTTGGATGCTCAGGGTGAGTGTTACGCCTCATGCAACATGTTGACATTGCCCTCGCCATCTGCAGCAGCAGGCGTGGGGGAAAAATTGCCTTTTCGCAACATGACAGGAGGCGCCAAAACTCACGATCGTTCAGGTATTCCACTTTCGCAGCTGCAGGTAACGGATGAGGTGGCAGTACACGCTCTGCATTATCGACTCCGCTACTTACCAGAGGTGGTGCATTATTACTTGTGCTCACACGTATTTCCCCGCACCATGAATTTTCAAGGAATGAAGATCAGTGCCTGTGGACATGAGCTTGGCTCTTCTATGCTCTTCACCAGTCGCATTGGATTCAGCGGGACGCCAAGTAATCTTCTTCCACTGGACCTTGGGGATTGCTTTTACGAACCTGGTAGCGACGGGCGTGTGCTGTCAGTCCTCACGAACCCGTCTGTTGTGACGACTGAGGTTTTGCCGCTGGACTGGACACCGCTGCGTGTGCTGGATCGTATTGCCACTTCCCATCCACCTTATCATGCTCTCATTGATGCCGGAGCACTTATCACGAATATGGAGAACGAGGATGTGGCGCGGTACCTTCTTGGAAAATTGTCTCCCGCACTCTTTGACGGTGTTGTGTTTCTTGACAGCAAAGATCGACAAATGATTCTGCAGCGCAGCAACGGATTAAAGGTGCCGGTGGCGCAGTCCGGAATTGCGCTCACACGCCGCTTCACGTTTTTTGACCAGGTTCACACCACAGGGACGGATGTTAAGCAGGCGGCATCTGTCACAGCGGTTGTTACGTTGGGAAAAGATCTTGTCTTCCGTGACTACGCACAGGGGGCGTATCGCATGCGAGGAGTGGGCAAGGGACAGCGTCTGCGTCTCTACCTTATCCCTGAGGTTCTCTCACGTATTCACGCCACACTTGGAAGTGCGACGACGGGAAATTCTCTCCTTGATGTACCCGCATGGCTTTTACTCAATTCAATGCAAATGGAGAGTTTACAGTTTATCAAGCTGAGCGTACAGGAATTGGCAAATGTATGGCGCAAGAAGGCCCTGCAGTATCTCCTAAGGGATTCCATTCATTTCCATGAGCATTCGGACCTCTACACTGAAATGGCGCGTTGCCGACGGTTTCACATGCAGCGGCCATTTGTGATTGAAATGGAGGGAGAGCCACCTCTTCCAGATATTTCTCTCCTCCGCTCCGCCATTCAAGAATTCCGTGAACCGGTTTCATACCCTGTGGACTCCGTTATTGACACCCCACTCCCTTTTCTGCA